GAGACAGCGCGACTGGGTCTTCTCGTACGACTTCGCTGACGCCGAGCCGACGGCGAAGCCGACGTCGTCGCCGACGTTCACGCCCTGCGACGTCGAGGGCGAGTACCGCTACTACCTCGCGCTCTACGACTACGGCGGCGACGGCTGGGAGGGCGCGACGTACACGCTCTACAAGTACGTCGGCGTGCGCCAGGGCGAGCAGATCCTCACGGGCACCGTCGAGACGGGCTCCGAGGAGGTCATCAACTTCTGCCTCCCGAACGGCCTCTACGCCGTCGACTTCGGCGGCGGCTCCGACGACGGCGAGATCGGCATCCAGTTCCTGCCCGACGACCTCCAGATGATCACGACGTGCACGGGCCCCTGCGTCGAGCGCTTCCTCGCCGTCGACGGCATCGTCATGCCGCCGACGGAGCCGCCGACGGCGTCGAACTTCGGCCAGCCGACGGCGTTCGACGCGTCGCAGACCGCGTGGATGTACCTGTCCTTCCTCGTCGACGGCCTCAACGGCGAGGCCCTCATCTCCGAGGCGGGCTTCTCGGCCTTCGCCTACGCGATCAACGACGTCATCCCCTTCCTCACCGGGCCCGAGGCCGTCGCCGACCTCACGGCGACGTTCGGGGAGGCGCGCCGCCGCCAGCTCCTCCAGGCCGCGGGCGACGACACCGCGTCCATCGAGGCCGTCATCCTCATGGACACGTGCGCGATGGCGGGCCACAACTCGAACGACGACTGCCTCGACGCCATGGTCGAGGACGTCGCCATCGCCATCGCCGACGGCGTCATGCTCGAGCGCATCCTCTACTGGGCGGACTACTTCGGTCTCGACCTCGGCGACGACTTCACGGTGGTCTCCATCGTCTCGGACCCGGAGCCGTACTGGGTCTACGCGCCGACGGCCGCGCCGTCGGCCAAGCCGACGGCCGCGCCGACGACGACGACGACGACGGCCGCGCCCACGCCCGTCACGACGACCGCCGCGCCGCCCGTCACGGATGACTCCGTCGACTCGGGCTCGTCGTCCAAGAAGAAGTCGTCGGACGACGGCCTCGACTCCGGCGCCATGGCCGGCATCATCGTCGCCGTCGTCGTCGTGCTCCTCATCATCGCCGCCCTCGTCTACTTCAAGAGCCGCGAGAGTGAGGCCACGGCGCGCAAGGATTCCTGGGACATGTCCCAGGATTTCACCGACGAGCAGAACCTGCCCGCCTCCGACCAGATTTCCGAGCAGCCGGCCGGCGACCAGCCGCAGGCGCTCCAGAAGATCACGCAGGCCGCCGAACTGTGATCGGTCGCGTCTACTTCCTCTCATCCTGTCCACGCCCTTCCACAAGCAACCTCATCCTCATCCGCTCCATCCTCCCTGAACCGCCGCCACCCGCCGACGCCACGCGAACGCGCGCCGAGCCACCGCGACGCGCGCGCCCGCGGAGCTAAAGCAACTCCCATCCCAATTGTGTTTGTTTCAAGCGGCAGACGAACCAGGGGTCAGCGCAGCATCTCGGGCTCGGGCGACGACGCGGCGTAAAGATTTAGACTACACTCGCGCGTCGAGGTACTTGAGGTTGTGTATAGCTTTCTCGTTGCCCTTGGCAGCGGCGCGCTCGTACCAGTATCTGGCTTTGCCGAGGTCGACTTCCGTGCCTTCTCCGTGCTGGTAACACCAGCCAAGGTTATACTCTCCATCGGTACAGCCTTGATTCGCCGCGAGTGCGTAGTATCGGGCCGCTTCTTCAAATCTCTGCTCAGAATCAAGTAAATTCCCAAAACGGGCCTGCGCGAACACGTCGCCCCGGTCTGCGGCTGCACGATACAGCCGCTCCGCCTTCTTCTTGTCCAGCTTGACGCCCAACCCCTCATGGTACAAACCCCCAAGAAGTCCCGTTGCTTCCACATCTCCGAGCTCCACGGCGCGCTTCCAAATTTTTGCGGCTTTCTTATCTGATTGCACGAGACCGTACAAACCGTCGCGGTACACACTCCCAAAAAGGCA